TGAAATATGTAATTTCTTTTTTTTAAAATTATTTTAACTTTAATTTTTTTTTTAGGCAATTGGGGTTAAGTGACTTGCCCAGGGTCACGCAGCTAGTAAGTGTCAAGTATTAGGTCTGAGACCAGATTTGAACTCAGGTCCTCCTGACTTCAGGGCCAGTGATCTATCCACTGTGCCACCTAGCTGCCCCTGAAATAAGTAATTTCAAGAAGTAACTGTGATTGTGTCATTTATTTACTAATCACTGGTAATATAAACCCTATTTTTGTTAGTGCCAATTTGCATTTAGAGGAAGAGATTTTTTAAAAAAAGAAAGAGTAAAAGGAAATTAATAAACAAAGATACCCTCATTTATCATTTGATTCAAAAATATGTTAAACAGGGTTTCTTGTAGTCTAAATAGTTTTATAACTCATACTGGTAGCCCTGGGCTATAGGAAGTAAGTAGGATATCGACTTACTTGTAGGACCTGAAAAATAATCAAATTTGGAAAGAATCTCAGAGGTCATTCTGACCAACCCATACCTGACCAGGAATCCCCTTTCTATATCTTCCAAAAGCAGTAACCCATAAACAAACTTGAAGAGCTCAGTAATGGAGAACTCACAACTTCATGTGGAGTTAGGACTGGTGAACAGTGGAGCAGGCAGCAGGTCAAGCATAGATAGCAGGAACCAGAGGATTCCAAGAGTCAACAACAGATTATATAGATGGTATCAGATATAAAGAGTTAGATACAAAAGTGAGCACTGAGAAATTCAGGTAGTCAGTATAGAGTTGAACGGAGGCAATCATCTGAACAACAAGGAAGGGATATTGGAGGAAGAATTTTTGATTGATTATCCGTCTCACTTGTATAAAGAATGGGCAAAAAGCTAAGGCAACCATTCTGATATAGGGACTCCTCACATCTCAAGTCTCACCCCAACCTAGCTACTACCTGTGTGAGCTTGGGCAAGTCATTTAATGTGTTTGGGCCTCAGTTTCCTCATCAGTAAAATGAGAGAGTTGGGCTATGAGAGCTAGATGGCACAAGGGATAGAATCCTGAGCCTGGAGTCTAGAAGTTCAAAATCAGCCTCAGACACTTACTAGCTGTGTGACCTTGGGCAAGTCACCTAACTTCTATTTGCCTCAGTTTTCTCAATTGTAAAATGGGAATAATAACCAACTTCCTAGGCTTGTTGTGAGGATCAACTGAGATAATATTTGTAAAGGGCTTAGCACAGTGCTTGGCACATAGTAGGTGCTTAAGTTCTTATTCCTTTCCCTCCATTTCTCTTCTTCAGCTATTATTCTATATATTTCCAGTCCTATAGAACTTCTCTCAGAGTATGGGCAAACCTATTCTTCCAGGGAGAAAAAGCAGGTACACCTGGTTGTGACCAGAAAAAAAAAGAGAGAGAGAGAGGGCAGGAAACTCTCATGAATAAATTATTTGACAGCAGCCAACTATGCAAATATATCTGAGGAGGTAAGCTGTACCCTCCCCAACAGAATTGTGGCTATCTATCAAGACAGGATGAAAACATTCCCCTGACGCCAGGCCACACTCCAGAATTTCTAGTGGAGAACACTACTTCTTCCTACCCTTCTGGGTTGGGGCAAAAAGGGCTTTCAGGTTAATGTTTGACTGCCCTCTGGGATAGTTGAACTCTACTAAGCCTCAAGGATGAGATAATATGGTTGATCTTTCCAGCATCTCTGTTCATGGCTTTTGCCAGATCTTCACACTACATTATTAGCTTGTGCCTAAAAGGAATCTAGATACTAGCTAATAGAGAAAAAAGGTCTAGCCTTATTTTCCAAGCACATCTCTTACTAAGGAAATTTGGGCTTCAGGACAAAAAGCATTGGGTGCTTGACTCCTGAAAATGTTTTTCTTGTTAATTCAGTAACAGTTGAAAAGTGGATAGCAACCTCCCTAATATTGGCATGGAAACAATCCTACAAGATTCATAGCAAAAACACCTCTCTTTACAGGTTCATAGATTTTGAGCCCAGAGTGTCCTTAAAAGTCACCTAGTCTAATCCCTTCATTTTAAGTATGAGAAAACTGAGGCCCAGAGTGAAGTGACTTACCCTAGGACATACAGATAAGTAGAGATAGAGATTGGATTTGAAATCACGCCATACTGTTACATTTCACCTCTGCACATGGACTTGTCTTTCAGGGCTGAAAATGCTTCTCATTGAAAATAATAAATTACTTTTTTTCATTTCTCTTAGTATTTAGACGACCATTAAAAGCAACCAGGAAAAGAGCTACATGGGAAACTTTTTAGGCACATGCTCTCCTTTATTACAAACATAAATTAATTTTTCCCCACATGATTAAAAATTGTGATCATCTCTGATGCAGAAGAGACAGGCGAGAAGAAGAGAGGGGAGAGGAAGGGCATATAAGTTTATTTTAGAAATGTGATCTTTGTATATTGTTTGATGAAATCCAATCATATCAACCTTTGAATTTGTTCTTTGGAAGGATGCTGCTAGGGAAATCCATTTCACTTGCTCTGTGACCACGATTTTATTATAATACAGACATGATACATTATTACATTTCATATATCAGCAGTATGAGTTGTCAACTGTTAGATTCATTTTGGAAGAATCTGCTTTAGTCTTCATATGTATAACTTAAAGCCAATGATAAATTGACTCCATCATGATTTATATGAAATATGGTAAACAGAGCACAACTGCAAATCAAGTTTTTAAATAGGCATATTTCATTTTTCCTAGCAACTTAAAAGTTGCGATTCTAGAAGCAGATAGAAATTGTTGCCAGCAAAATTCCACAAGGAGCAATGTGCCACCAAAACAGATGCAACTTGAAGTAAGGTCTCCTTTCAGAAAAGTAAGTAAACACATGAAGCAATATCAGAACAGGAACACACGGCTTCTTAAAGGAGGAGAGCAGAAAACAAGCCCCCACAATCATTGAGGTTTTTTTTTAAAATAGTGATATTACTAATTCCTTGATATAAGAATAATATATTTGTTTATTAGACATAGGTAGAGGCAAGAAGAGAGAAGCAAGATTTTAAATGATGAAGTCATCCATTCATTTATTTGGCCTCTCAAGAGTGGCGCAATCACCCTGCCTTACAATCCCAGAAAGCCTATACTTGCTTTACCCCACTATCATCCAATTCAATTAATACTTTTAAAGAGTATCTTGAAGTGAATAAGTATTTAACAATAAAATCAGTCAGGATCTATAGCTTAACAAGAAGCACACACAAAAAGTTTCCCATCTTTTCTCTTTATTGATTTGCATCAGTATAAAGGAAATGGATCAGCTAAAAGCACCGACCTTCCAAAGCACTTGCATTAATAGTGAAACTATATACAATGAAGCATTTTTCCCCCTACTTTAGGTACTTCAGGATTGTGAACACTTTGTACTAGTACCAAATGCAGAACATCACAAAAATCCAAATTGCATGAAAATATTATTTGTTCCTCAATTTTAGGGAAGAAGAAAGATATACTCTTTATCTTGGATAAATTTTTCCTGCCCATCTTTTATTAGATGCCACTGCCTTTTAAACCTCCAGATATCTGAAGCTCTGTAATTACTTCAATTGCTAAAAGAATCAGAGATGGAGGAGCAGTGTTGTCTTAGCAAACGATTGTGGGAACTCAAAGCAGAACCTGCTACCAAATTCAAAGCCTGAAATGACAAGCTTTCTGAGACTTAAACATTAGTTCTACTAAGAAAAGGCACTGACCTTCCTTTTGATTTGTAATAGAGAAATGCCCTGCTAACAGGCTTTCTCCTGTGAAACCCTGTTGTAACTGTAGAGCATCAGAGAGACATGTGGAGGAGAGAGAGAATTCAGTGCCCTGTGCAAAGGCTGGAAACATATGATTTCGAGGAGTTCTTATCCTTTCATCACAACTGGAGATATAACCTGAATACAAGACCATAATATGCTATGATCACAAGCACAAGGTGGATTATGCAGCTCAGAGAGATACTCTATTCACTTTAACTAGTTGTACTGCACTCTTGACTTATTTTTCCCAGGCTCATCTTTTGACGTTTGAATTATGGAGGTTCTAGCAAATATAATTTATGTAGTTTGATGAAATACACATAATTTTGAGGAAAAGTAGGGATGGGAGATAGGGGGCTTTTCCCTTCCTGATAAAGCTAGCCTCATACTTCTGCTTAAAAGAAGAAAAATATTCTGCACGCATTGTAAACTTAACTTCCAAGCACCCACCCCTGTTATCCAGTCCTTAGTCTAAGTCGTACTAGCAGGTTTGTGTGTTTCCCACTAATCTGTTCTGTCTTCTGCCTTCCATTCGGTTCATGAACATTCCTCTGGTTTGGCTCAACTCTGGAGTGTACCTATGAGCTTCATCAGAATGGACACTGCAGGAAAACTCTAACGGAGCATGCACTTCATCTTCACTAGGTAACTTAACTGCTCCAAGTTTATGGAAGCTTATGTGTGTGTGAGAGAAAAACGAAAATTCCCCTAATAGGCATCATAAACGCACTTTAAAAATACATCGAATGCAAATCGCATTCATCAGATCCACCCACGGTAGCCGATCCTCCACAAATCTTACCTCCCCCCACTCCCCATCACACATCCCGCACCCTCAAGAAAACACTACATGAGCCTGAGTTATGATACAAGGGGTTGCGCTCTGAAGGGAATCCTTCCCGTCCACTCCCCACAGGCTGGTCATTTACCAAAAGAAAGTGCAAGGCAGGAAAACTAGCACGCTGAATGCGGAATTAGAAGCCAGTTTTTTGGGTCAGCCAGAGCCCAAGACAGCAAATAGGGAGACCCAAGGAGGTGTCTCTGGACTAGGAGCCACTTCTTCCTCCCATTGTAACCCTTCAACCCAAGCAACCAAGCAACCACCCTCCCACTTCAGACTCCAAAGCAACTCCCTACCATCCTCGGGGCACTTGAAGGACAGGGGCAAGGAGCAGGGCAAGGAGTCCCATGGAAGGAGGTGGGGGAGACCCTTACGTGCTCCAATTTGTCTTTCCTCCGGAGCCAGACACTGGCACTGTAGTCTTGCTGTTTGACGCTGCTGTAGAAGTTCGCACCTACTCGAGTGAGGCTCGGGGAGGGCTCCTTGGGGCGGCTTTTGAGCCTCATCTGCTCGAAGCCCTCGTGGGGGGAGGACGAGAACCACTCGTGTTGCCGGATCTCCATCCTGACATGACAAGGCTACGGCCCCTGTCCTGGGGAGGGGGTGCTTAGGGTGGGGGTTAGGAGGGAGGAGGAGAGAGAGAAAAGAGGAGATTGAGAAGGGGGCAGGGAGAGGGGGAAGCCGAGGCAGAAGTGCTAGCTGATGGGGAGTGGTGGGGCTGAATGGCAAGAGCAAAGGAAGAGGAGAGAGGAGGCAGTGGGAAGCTAGCTGAGCTCCCTGGAGAAGGTGGTGATGGAGGAGGGGAGGAGGAGGAGGAGGAGGAGGAGGCTGATGTCAGGGTTTGAGGAGGTGGGAAGGGAGTGGGGGACTGAAGGGGGAGGGGGAGAGGGTGCCCAAGCTACTGGAAGGCAGCCGCGCCAGGTGCAGGTGGCTGGCAGTCTCTGTCGCCCGGCCAGCTGCAGTCCAGGACAGACACCTCACAACCAGGCTCCTTGCGGCACCGGCTGGGACTGGGGGGCAGGGGACTAGGGAGAGGGAAGGGAGAGGAGGAGGAGGCGGCCGTAGCGGTGGCAGGGCGGCAGGGGGTGGAGGGGAGTGGGAGTGGGAGGGGCCGGTGCTCTCCAGCCAGCCCGCAGGTTGGTGCAGTGAGCAGCTGAAGCTGCTGCTGCTGTTGCTGTTGCTGCTGCTGCTGCTGCTGCTGAGGTTAGGAGAGGAACACGGAGTCCAGCTGCCTGAAGCCGCCCAGCCTGCTACTCCTTCTCCACCCCAGGATCAGGCAGAGGTGGCCCCCTGACCCTCTGTTCTCTGAAAGGATTGCACCTTGTCCTTCTGGTTTTAACTTTAAGGGACACACACTTCAGGAAGAGAATCCTTTCTTCATCCCTCCTTCTTTTCCTCCCTCCTCTTCCTCTTCGGGCAGTTCAGGAGATAGGGTAGGAAAGACATTAAGGCAATCACTTCCCTCCATTCCTAACCCACACCCATCCATCCATCCACCCATCCATCTACCTTCAGTCCTTCCCGGTCCCCTAACTTTCTCTTATTTCCTTTTCTTCACTCTAAAAGTTGAATAACTTCCCATTCAAAGAATTCATTAATCCTTTCTAAGTGTATTGTGGATGTAGAAGGGGTTGAGGGGAAAGAAGGGGGAAGAGCTCCACCAGGTTTTAGTCCCAGAATGCTTTCTTCCTGGATAATACTTTGCATGTTAGGTGCAGTAATGCAAATATTCCAGGGTGCATTATCATTTGTCCTTAACTGGCATTGTTAACATCATGACCACCACAGCCCAATGTAGCCACTGAAGCTTTCCAGTAGCCTGGCCCCACCCCATCCCACAAAGTATCTTGTGCATTTCATGTGTCTTAGTAATAACACTCTGCCTATGCTTCCAATCCATCCCTTTAAATGTAATGTCCTTAGGCTGCTGTGCAGTTCTCTTATGTGTTCCTAGATGTCCACAGTCAGGCTTTCCTTCCAGGGCTTTTCTCAGCTGATCTATACACCCACACATAGTACTAAGATAGGCAGGAATAAAAATTAGTACAGATTTGATGCATTAATAATTAAATTTAAACTGCCCCTTTTTGCTTGCTTTCCTTACAGCCAATATCTGAGTGTTTCAGATTTTGCTAGAGAGCACAAGACACTCGAGTTACTGGTTTTTCCAGATCAGTTAAAAGGTACTGGAAATGAGTTTTAAAGATGTAGAGCCAGTGCAGAGTGGATATCATGAAAAGACTTCTGGATCTGGAGGCAGAAAATCTAGAGGAAGATGGGGAGGAGAGAGATGATAAGGATCTCTACCTTTTCAATGCCATCCTTAGAAGGGGGTAATAGGAATGTCAAAAGAAAGAAAGAAAGAAAGAAAGAAAGAAAGAAAGAAAGAAAGAAAGAAAGAAAGAAAGAAAGAAAGAAAGAAAGAAAGAAAGAAAGAAAGAAAGAAAGAAAGAAAGAAAGAAAGAAAGAAAGAAGCAGAGCAACCAGAGACCCTTACAAGGAAATGAAAAAGAACTAAAAACAAATTTAAGATCCTTCCCTCTATTAATTATTTCCTATTATCCTGTATATAGCTTGCTTTGAATATGTTTGTTTATTGTTTCTATCATTAGACTGTGAGATCCTGGATAGTAGGGGCAGATTTTTGCCTCTGTTTGTATCTCCAGTGCTTAGCACAGTGCCTGGCACATTGTAAGACCTTAATAAATATTTAGTGACTGATTGATTAAAACAAATCTGAAGACCTTGTTTAGTGTCATGCTCTGCTACTTTATTTAGTTAGTTTTAGTCTGTACTTATGATTTCCTTAGTTTAGAGAACTCCCAAGACAGAAGCAGATACACAATCTGAAATACCTCCCTGGGGAAGCTGGAATGTTATATGACTTGACCATGGTCATATAGCTAATATGTGTCTGAAGAAGGACTTACTACATTCACTGCATTCATAAATCTTATATATCTTATAATATAAAATATATATGCAATATTCTTTTACTATATATATATAAAATCTTATAAATCTTATAGTAATCAGACTTGCTAACTCCAAGGTCAGTCCTCTAACCACTATTCCTTGCTTCTCACAGTATAACCTGAACTTCAGTTTACTCATCAGTAAAATGGGAATAATAATATTCTACTCTCACATGGGATTTTTGTGATATTCAAATTAGATCATGTTTGTAGTCTTAAAACCATATTGTTTCTTCTTTCTCCTTCTCCTCTTCCTCCCCCTCCCTCCTCTTCCTCCTCCTTTTTTCTTCTCCTCCATCCATATGTGTATGTGTATATGTGTATGAATATGTGTGTGTGTGTATAAGCTTTATTATATTCATAAACACTTGGGATTTAGAACTAGATAAGGCCGTGGAGATCATGTAATTCAACCCCCTCATCTTACAAACTATGATCTCTACATGTAAAATAACTTAACCAATGTTACACAGGAAGTAATTAGCAGAGCCAGGATTCAAATTAGGAGACCTGACTATATTCTACTACACCATACTATCTTTTTTTTGATTCCCAAGAATAATGCATTCACTTTCCTTGTCCTGACATGTGATTAAGGGTCCAAGAAGCATCCTACCTAGTAGGTTATTCAGATGGATTTTAAAATAAAGGAAGGTCATATTTTATAAAGCTTCTTAAAGGCAGAGGGTTATCTTCACTCCTTCAGTATGTATTGCTTGAGTGATTGATTGATAAGCTAGCATTAATGAAAATAACGGACTATTATTTTTGACACATTGCTGAATAACAGGTAATTTTCAGAAAGAATTTCTACTAAGAAGCATGATCAGTTTTCCAAGTGACCTAATTTGTAATAGCCAATCATTCCTCTCTGCTAGGATGTTATCTTCAGACTTGAGAGAAGACTTGCTTCCAATCTATTTCTACAATAATCAATTAATAAATATTTATTAAGTACCTACTATGTTCCAGGTACTGTGCTAAGCACTGGGAGTACAAAAAGAGGCAAAATAACAGTCCTTGCCCTCAAGGATCTCATAATCTAACGGGGGGACAGCAAACAAACCAATACATGTTCCATCGGTCTCCTTGTCCAATACAAATATTAACATACAATTAAAATATACAATGTACAATTAAAATAACCCTTTATAAGTGCTGAGGTCAGAACTAATGCCTGTAGTTATAATATAACTATATTATAGCATGCTTTTTCTCTAAGAAATTTTTCATATTTTGTAGAATATGATTAGACCAGAGATATGTCCAAATCTGAGTCAAATGAAGTGCATCATCACGGGGTTTACTGTGCTAGGATTTAAGTAATGCATTTCAGGATTTCAGGAAAATGCTCAAAGATCATTAAGAAAATTATTCAATTCCTCAAAAGATTTGAAGATGAGTATCATCCAAAGGACAATGGGAAGGGGCATGATGGACATGAGAAGATGGCAACACATTATGAAGGAGGAATTTCACAGGAGAAGTGGTATCATTAGAAAGCATGTCATTAGGAAAAGTATGAATGGAAAAAAAAGAGGGCAGTCATTATGACAAAAGTGAACTCTGATTAGCAACATACCTGCTCCACTGTTGTGCTTGTAATATCAAGAGAATAAGACAGAAACCATCAACAGATTGGATATCCCCCCTGGAATGGATTTATAGAACATGGCCAAGAGTCAAGTAAGATGAACCAATGTGGAGCTGTTATTGTGCACTGTCAAAAAGAGAAGAGTCACTGACGAGATCACAGGTAAATTGGAGCACTGAACCATTTCAGATTTATACAAGATGATTTCCCACTCGCGTTCAGGCCCTTAGAGTGAAGGGTGATTTCCTGGTAATACACTAACATCTAGCAAACTCAGTCTTCAAAGAATGTAATTATGTCACAGTCCAAAACACTAGAGTACAACTGTGGTACATAGATAAGGCAGAACTCAAGTTGGCCTCAAGCTTTCAAAAAGTAACAGTCTTGCTTGGCTGTCTCATTATAGAATACTGTTAAAGTTACCTTTCAATAGATGTCTGCAAATCTATGAGATTTGTTAATGTAGTGAATGTAGAATCAATTTTTAAAAACAAACTAATCTCAACCAAACATTTCTGTTTTATTTTTCTTTATTTTCCTTTACATGGGACACCTAGGGGTTTTTTTTAAGTATACTGTTACTGAAAGAGAACTTTAAATAAGACCTTCCTTTGTAGTATGAATTAATGTCTCCCCCACCAATATGTACCCTCACCTCTTGGGAGGGCATCATAAAAGACTTGCCCAAGAAATTATTATAGCCTATATTACCAAAGTATAAATCCAGAAGCATAAAGTAAAATAATTTTGTATGTTTTCTTTTTAATGAATGTTAGCTATGGGTTAATGACTATAGAAAATGTAAAAAAATAACACCATCAAAATCTAGGTAGTTTCACAATGAAATGGTTCATTAAAAGGATAAATTAGAAAAAAAAATCTTTGTGGATAACACTTCTTACAATGATTATTTCTTTATGAAAAAAGGGTGGATAGATTCATTAAGAAAACACAAGGTAGTCCACCTACAGCTGTGGTATAATGAAAAAAACACTGGGTTTTAGTGAGAAGTCTCATATCTGAACCTCTCACTTGAGTTCCATGAACTTGGGCTAGTCACTTAAAATCTCTTTAAAGTTTCTTGCTTCTACCATGGAGATAATACCTGCACTACCTACCTCAAAGGGATGTTATAAGAATAAGATATTTTGCACACTCCAAACTGCAAGGCACCACATAAATGTTAGCTGTTACCCCTTCTTTTGCTGCTGGATTAATTTAAATTTGGACACAGAGTGAATTTTTTTTAGATAATCATGGATAAAGACAGGGCTTGGACATTTCAGGAAGTGAAGAGAACTGGGTTATAATCTCTGCTTCTTCTGTTGTGTGGCCTCAAACAAACTTAACCTTCTTGAATAGCAGTCTCTCTCTCTGTCTGCCTCTCTCTCTCTCTCTCTCTCTCTCTCTCTCTCTCTCTCTCTCTCTCTCTCTCTCTCTCTCTCTCTTTCACCCCCTCCCC